AGAACCGGAAATAGCACCGACGATACCCATCAGGATGGATACATCGGGCAAGGCGATATCGATGAGATAAGAGATGACGACAGCGATGGTCACCGCGACGACACCCCAGAAGTCAGCACGCTTTGGTTGGAAGGTGTTGATGAGGGCGACACGACAGGGATATATCATGAACGGGTAAGTGCCAATGAAAGCGATTGCCATCCAAATGAAGCCGATGATGACAACAACATCACCACCAGCGATGTATTGTGCCATATTCAGCAATACACTGGACTCGGAATCTGGACCGAAAACCAGAAGGAACGGAATGGCGATGGCGAAGTACACAAGAGTGCTGATGATGGCAGACCAGATGGCGACCCAGTGCAGTTTCTTCTCACTCCTAGGGTTCATCTCCATGTAGATCTCAGGCATATTAGCTTGGTTGCAATAACCGAAGATATACGTGGTGACACCCTCCAGGCAATCAATCCAGTTGATTGGAGCATAAGCCTGGCCATATTTGAAGTCAACTGCCATACCATATTCACCGAGGAGATAGAAGGCTACGATAGCCAACCAGAACATACCGAGAATACTAACAATAGTGAGGTACCTCAAGGAGCCGAGACTCTTAACCAGACAGATTGGGTACATGACGATACCCAACATGATGAGGGATAAGTAATACCTCGAGGTTAACATGATATGATACCAAGCATTGGGGTCATCGATGGTGAGCTGATTGAACAATGGTGCCAATGAATCGACAACAGTTACCAAATAAGAGGCACTGCTACCCAAACAGAAGACAACCATAGCAATCTGGAAGCCGTACAGCACCTTACGACCATAAAGGTGCTCTATGATGGTAGCGTACGAAGTCTTGCCCGTCTTCTCAACAGTCTTAGTAATCATATCTATAGAAAGCACATTCAACACAGCAAACACCATCAATAAGACAATAGCAGAAACATAACCACCAATTGCCATCTCATAGGTATTGGACAGAATGGCGCCACCCAAAGTAGCCTTAACAACAGCAATAGTCGCCGTGAATGACGAACCAGGGGCGAAGGTCCTGCTAGCCCAAGTATCCTTCTTAGGGGACATTTCCCCTAGAGGGGATGAAGCCTCTGAAGCAGTTGACAGATCCGCCTTCTTCGGCTTCCCCCGTGAACTCATTGGGGTAGCAACAACACTTTGCGAGATTGAATCGAGGTCATCTCTCACAGAGCCTTCAGTGCTGGTACTGCTATTAGCGGCACCAGCGTCAGTAGTAATGACACTAGTCGTGTTAGAAGTCATCGTTGTTAGACGTGGACTTTATAATTAGTGATGAATACAAGGATGATGAATAATGTCACCAACACTGAAAGAGAATAATACATCCCGACCCTGACGGCGACAGCAACCCCTCAACACAAGTCCAATGATGATGATGACATCAACACGGTATTGATGATGGTTGTCATGCGGATACCCCTACTAATGACCACCTCCGTCGTAGTAACTGAACGAAGAGGATATAACCAAGACGTGGGGGGGGCTGCTCACTCCAAGAGACCATGACGACCTCGCTTCTTCTCATCTGATGGTCTGATGGATCGGATGAGCATCACCGAATGGGCAACGGCCCAACTGATGATCATCTAAAAGGTAATGATGATGTGGAGGAGGAGTAGAGGATTACACAGGCCAGGAGGTTGACGAAGAAGGCGAAGGACACTGTAGGGTAGGGGAAGGTGGCCGTCCTGGCCAGTCGATAGAAGGACATCCAACTTATGATGAAGTAGCCGACAATACCACACCAAGCCAATACCCCACTGAATGATAACATCACCACGTAGTAATGTTTATACCTGCAGGGAAGATGAACAAATAAAGTCGGCGACTTACGCACTTCAACAGACTCGTCGTGAGGAGGGCAATGCCGATGAGGATTTGAATGGCACTCGAGGATGCTATGATGAGATACTCACACCAACTTAACATCAGCAGCCTCTTGTACATTATGCATCTAATAGAAGTATGACGACGACAAAGAGGGAAGGAGGCCAGGCAACATCATCTACCGGTCGGCCAGATGAGTGTTGAAGTCCATCGTACACTTCTCAACACCGACCGACTTACCAACACCTGAGGGAACATCAACGACAACAACAAGTTGATGAGGACCGACATGGTGGGGCTTCGGCGAAGAGGGGCTGACTGGCATCGAAGGTCTCCCATCTATCACAGGTCGACTCTGCCAACTCCAACCATGATTGACGACGATCACCAATTACGTAGACCAAACCATATTGTCGGGATGAGAAACCAACAGCAAGGGAGGATGAGGAGGATAGTCGATCATCCTTATGGCCTCCGGCGTAGTAGCTTCCCGAGAGGTATTGACTACCCTGAAGGGATCAACGACGATGACTCAACTGAGGAGAGGATGAGGAGGCTACTACCGCGCCGACACGCCAAGTCGACATGAAGATCGACCCCAACGCCAAACCGGCAGATGTGAATACTTCAACTGAGACGATGGGTTGATGACGATGGTGACCGACAAGACTTACCTGTGAGGAGGAGAAGACTCGACCCTTTGGAGAGGCGGCCGAAGATCATAAGAAGGTGAGGAAGTAATGGCTGAGGGAAAATGCCATGATAACAAAGAAGAAGTCAAAAGCCATCGATGGTCGTCGAAACTGATGTTAACGAGGTGTGGTAAGGAAAGATTCATTCATGAATTTAATACCGACATTATTAGCAAACCTCAAGTCTCTATCAGACTCATCTTTAACTCTTCCCCCACCATCACCAACCATTACACTCTTACCCACATCTACTGGTATACCATCATTCAACCTTTCTACCATAAACTCC